CCCTTGTAAAAAATTACATATAAGTACGTTATTAACTCAAAATTGAAATTTTGGCAGTTAGGGTTGTTTCTATTTTCTGTGCCCCAAATATTCGGATATCAAAATTATTGGTGAATATCTGAATATCCGACAGATACTACCACTACTGGTTTGGATTTATTTAAAAATTACTAAATTAAGAAGGATCTACAGAAGCAATTCCTTTTTTCAGTGGTGGTATTTTTTAAAAATTCTGATGGATCAGTCCACATGATATTTAAAATTTTCCTAGTTCTCATTATAGAACTTCTGAATGTAGCAGATAGTAAAATTCACATCTACATTTACAATTTTAAGATGTTGTGTTGAATTTATTTACAACTTATTATTATTATTATACCATAATAGTAATAATACAAATTGCTGGCAAAGAATGTCAAAGTATATTTAATATGAATAATTTAAAAATGGGCATCCTTGCATTATGTCAAAATTTTAGCCAAATTTAGTTTAGAAATAATAATTTTTTTTGATGCCCAATTATTTAATAAAAATCATGATAAAAATGAAAATATTATAAATTAACCAAATTTAGTTTGGGTTTTGGAATAGGAATATAAAAAAAATAATGATAATCACTCAAAAAATACAAATTGATATAAAGTGGTGAGATGGTTTTTTCTTATGCTAATTCCCTTTCAATAAAAAGAAGCATATAATTGTCTATATGATCAGGATTATCATCATTGATTCCATTAATTTTAATTGGTGAAGATAATTCTGTTGCTACATAATCTTCTGAAAAATCTGGAATATCAATTTCAAATTCATTTCTTGAAATTTTTGCAGCATCAACATCAGTATCATCTTCCACCTTATCCAAATAATGTTCTAATTCAACCCCATCCTTTGGCTCATCTTTTATTTCATTACTACAATTTGGTGCTATATCACTCACAAGTGCACGCCAATCTACTCTTTGGAAGAAATCAGTTGTAAATTCACCATCCATAATCACCAATTTATCTAACATACGTTTTTGATTTGCTTTTAATAATATATTTTCTTCAATTGTATGTTCACTCACAAAACGATATATATTTACTTCACGTGTTTGACCAATTCGATGACACCTACATAATAAAGTTTTTTTCCAATTAAAAAATTAAGATTGGCATAATAAATCTTTTCTGATCTAAATGAGTCCACATATTTTTTTACTCACCTGTCTTGACATTGTCTGTCAGCACAAGGGTTCCAATCACTATCATAGAAAATTACAGTGTCAGCACCAGTTAAATTAATACCTAAACCACCAGATCTTGATGATAATATAAATACAAAAATTTTAGGATTATGATTAAACTTTTCAGTTAACATTTGCCTATCTTCAATTTTTGTTGAACCATCAAGTCGAAGGTATGTATGCCCATGAATATTTAAGAATATCTCTAATATATCAAGGACTCGTGTCATTTGTGTAAAAATTAGGGCACGATGACCTTTTTCTTTCAGTCTACGAAGAAGAATATCTAATTCTTGTAATTTTCCACAATCATACTGAAGAAGTCTTTTATCAGGGAATGCTATTTGTAACTTGACACGTATTGGATGGTATATATCTTTAAATTGAGTTTTAATCATTGATTTCAAATTTTCTGAAACTTCTTTTAGTGAAAAGGAAACAATATCTTTTGCAACAACAGCTGGAGTTACAAATGCAAATTTATTTATTTTTTCTTCCATCATTTGATATCTTCTTTCATAAGACATGATCATATCATACAAAATGTCTGTGAAATTCCAAAATTCTCTGGGATTTTTGGCATGAGACAATACTCTGGTACACACAGTTGTACCTAACTTCCTACATATATCTATCAAACCAGTCCCATATATAGGTTGACGTCTAATACGTAGAGAATTGACATAACGCATATAATTCCATCTATTCCTAGT